TAATTTATGTAAACGTAATTTTTCAAAACAATTATTTAAAAACAATATGTTTATATGCATTTTAAATGTACAAGGAAATATAATCTGCTTTCTGTGAATCTTAATTATCTTTCAAAATGCTGTTTATTTTTCTACACATTATCATATGTCAACAGTCAATACATGTTACTTTATAATCAGCTAAAAGTTATCAGAAAGGATTGAAACTTACATTAGCAATTCTTTAGTTATTTACCCTACAGTCTTGCTGGAATTGTTTTATCATTTTCTTTTAGATTTGCTGGTTCGAAAAAGTACAAAATGGCAACTCATTACCGTTTTAATTTTGAATTACTTAAAATTGATGAGTTCTACATTTATTTTTAGACTGTCTCAGCACTGAATAATTTAACTACATTATTAAATAATGCAGCTCATATTCTAAAATAAAATGAATATGGTTGAGTTTAATTTATCTTAAATTTCAGAATATTACACTCTATGGGCTTGTTCAGGACAGAGGTTTGTATACACTTCTTTCCTACATTCACTGGTGTTTTAATCATTGATAACTTTTTAAACTATTTATTATGGAAAAATTCAAACATACAGAAAAGTAGATAGAAAAGTCTAATGAATCCTATAAACTCAACAGCAAACTTCACCATTATCACGCATGCCCAATCTTGTTTCTTTTGTACTCCAACCCACTTCTCCTACCTTTCCTGAAGTATTTTGAATCAAATCATGTAATTTCATCCAAATAATTTGGTCACCATCACTAAAAGATAAGTACCCTTAAAAAACCACAGATACAATAACATTATCATATCGTAAAATGTAAATCATTATTGCTTACTATCAATCAGTTATCCTTCCAGTTTTTAACGTTTCAGTCCACCCCCCGCCCTTCTCTCTTTGGTATGCTCTCTCTCTCACTCTCCAGCTTCTGTTTTTTTTCTGAAACAGAGTCTTGCTCTATTGCCCAGGCTGGAGTACAGTAGTGTGATCTCGGCTCACTGCAACCGCCGCCTCTCAGGTTCAAGTGATTCTCCTGCCTCAGCCTCCCAAGTAGCTGGGACTGCAGGTGCACACCACCATGCCTGGCTAATTTTTTTTTTTTTTTTTTTTTTTTTTTTTAGTAGAGACGGTGTTTTACCATGTTGGCCAGGATGGTCTCGATCTCTTGACCTCGTGATCTGCCCGCCTCAGCCTCCTAAAGTGCTGAGATTACAAGCGTGAGCCACCACACCTGGCCAGTTTTTTTTTTTAAACAGGGTGCAAAAATTATCCATTAACTTAATGGATAATTATGTGATATAATTGAAATAAATAATGTGATATAACCATTAACTTTTAAAAAAGAAATTGAAGTTTTTTCTCTCAGTGTTCTTTTCCATTTATGTGGCAAAATGTGAAAATTGCTGGCAAATGTCACCATAATATTACCTTCTGATTACTATTTGGGGGGGTCACCTTCATCCATCCATTCTTCTTTCTTCCTTTCCCCAATTGTGGCTGCATCATATGTTTCCTTCATTCCTCTTCTCTCCCTCCTTCTCACTCTTTCCATTTCGTTCTTTGTCAATGTCATTCACCCTTCTAGTTCCTTTTTTTTTTTTTTTTTTTTTTTT